CGAACCCCCCCCCCCCCCCGAATCCATACAATGTCTAGCTTGCGCTTGAAATCTGCTGTCGATTAAGCAGCAACGACTTCATCAGGCAACCTGTTTCAATTATTCACAACTCTAGTCGCGAAGGACGACGCTCTCAGTTGGGTCCTCACTCTATATTTAACCGGTTTTACAGCATGTCCTCTCAGGTTTGTTGCTTCACTGAGCTTGAGCAGTGCTCCTTCTAGTACGTCTATAAGGATTTTGTAGACCTCAATCAATTCTCCGCGCCTGCGTCTACTCCATGAGAAGAGGTTTAAGGCTTCGAGACGCCTCCCTTAAGAGAGACATCTGAAGCCCGCAAACCACCTGGCGAAGCAACGTTGGATTGTTTCTAACTTCTTCATGTCCTGGATCAGAAACGGTCTCCAAGCCTGGACACGGTACTCGAGATACGATCACAGGTAAATCTTGTTGAGAGGTAGCAAGACTTCGAGTTTCCTTGAGCTCACCGGACGTCTGAGCCGGTGAAAGTTAGGAAAATTTTCAGTTATATTTCCAATTAAACAAGCTGTGTAAGTGCATTCCTCCGGAACAATAAGTGGCTTGATCGTCGATCTAACCGGTGAAAGCCTTACAGAAAATAAACTTGGAAATAAATGCTTTCTGATTTATGAGTGAAAGTTCCTAAACCCCTCCTACTTCTTTCTAGCTATCGGTATTATTATGTCACCCAAGCTCCATTTGAAATGCAGCTGAATAATTGGTTTCATAAAGCCGGTTTTATGTTAACAGGTATCACCTTATCAATAAAGGGCCTGGGGCCACGGATTCTATTCACCCTGTAGAACAGACACTACCTTACATTGGGTTTCTCAGGGAGGCCGGTTTTAAAACACTTCCAAGACCCGCAGCAACACAAATGCGAGAACGAAACCACGTCGTGAAAAGTTGAGCAGTGAGCCGATGGAAATGTCTGATGACCGACAAAGGGCACTGGACAGCTGTTTCGTCCGGTTTTGGGACTCATCGACGTCAACAGTGCGTACTTTTGTTTCCCTGTCGGGGCTAGAATCGTGAATATTCAGGTTGGATTAGTCCATTCGATTGTTTAGAGGCACCAGGCATTCTTGGTGGTCTTGGGTGTGGGTTTCACTCCTTGGGAGATCGTTGATTGCCCACTAATTGAATGCATTCAAATGCGATGGAAATATTTGTGCAGTGATTTTCAGATTCATCGTATGCATTAAGTCGAGGCTATGTTTCTAAATAAACAACGCGCGCAATCATGTTGTTAACTGATTGGTTTGGATTTATCGAAGCGCTGATCAACTTGACTCGAATACAGCCTTCAGTTCGAGAAAAATGCTCCGTTACCGATAACTACTTTGCTCCCACGAATCTTCATCTCTTACTTCTGATCTGGGATGGAAATGTCAGACTATCCGTATCCGAACCCACACGTTGTGAATCCATGTTCCATGTGCAGACCTGGTGTCAAAACAAGTCTTATTTGGCTTTTCAACATTGTTCCGACTTTGAACATAGACAAGCCAGAAGACAAACACCGCTAGAAGAATTGCATCGCTATACTCTCTTGTCAGTCGCGTACTTATAATATTGAACGAGATAGATAAATGAAATAAAACAAAAAATCTAGTTAAAAAAGACATTTGAAGACATTTAAAAGACATGGTGAAGAGTTTGTCATGGTCAACTTGCTTTTGTCATTTGATTGGTTTAACTAAGTTATGGCCTCATGGTGATTGGACGACGGACACACTCGGGCCAGATCGATCACGGGCCATGGAAGTTAGAGTGCCTGAATTGAACGATTTTGGGCGCAGAGGTTAGCGGTCAACTTTCTTATCTCCATCGCTTCGGCTATTGCCAGAGTGCGCAGTTGAATACCGTTGTACTTGGTGTGGGGAACAATAAACAACCTTGAAGGCGACATCGGGATTTATTTGTGTTATGTCTTGGCAAGACGTATGATCGATATGAGCGCCTCTTGACCAGCCCCCAACAACGATATGGAGAGAGAGAGAACACAGCTGAGAAAACGACAGTCAGAGTATATTATTGATCATGAAGCAATACGAAAATATATGCGGTAAATTGGGCGCACGGGAAACGACGTGGTGACACACCAATCAAATCGCGACCTTGATACTCCGTTTGATCGATCGGACAACAGTTATCTGATTCGCCTTAGTCATCCAATCCGGCGTCGATTCGGCTTTCAGCGTCAAGAATGCACTTGTGTTGGGCTAAGATGGAGCTGTTTATTGATCCGGTTTGGCCTAGTCCTGGATAACTGTAACGCATCCTTATCACCACCTGCCTGATTCATTCAACAATCCGGGTCGAACGGATGCAATCAGGATATGAAAAGTTTCGACCGTTTGATCAATGATAGGATGATAGGATGATAGGACAGGAACCTATACGACGAAGCTGAGTAACAAAGGGAGATGTATAGAATAGGTTTTTGCCAATGATATTGTGGATAGAATACAATGGAGAATCCCGTAATTACAGAGGAAAAATGTGGTTTCTGTTAGCAAATGAGTGTTTCCAAATTTAGTCTTTTTTTCAGGCGAAATACTGTTGGATGTGTTAAAACTGGGACCTGAATGGTTAGAAAACTGTTAGTTTTTCCGAGCCAGATTATCAGTGGTGAAGTCGAAGGACGAAGAAGAGGCAATTGTCTGACACAGTGCGATATTATCAGCGTAACTGTGAATGTGCGCAGGCGGGAGAAGGGGGAGACGGGAAGCTCACTGACAGAAGCAGAAAAGAGATGCAGGGATAGAATAGCACCTTGAAGCAAACCAGAATTATTAACTATATGTTTTGCTGTACTCCTTCCTAATTCGGTTCATTGGAACCTATCTGTGAAGCAGCCGGGAATTCATGGGAGCAGTTGTCCAGGGGGACACTAAAAGACGGGTGGGTGGTAATTAGGAAACGGAATGAAGCACAGACATAGAAGAATGTAAAAGACAAACTAGGGGATTGAAATGTTCAATGACACTCCAGTAAAATGTCTTAGAGTATACACAGCGTCCACTGTCCAGTCTATTGGGTTTTTAAATGCAAATTGGATAGGGTCATCGGGAATGATGGTGATGCACTGCCAACTACTTAGTTTGGCCTTTTCGGTCACCTTTAGAATTTTGGAGGTCAGTGCGATAGAATAAAATCATTTTGCAACAGCGGTTGGCAGTGAGGCCCTTTTTATTGGAATTGTGCTACCATGACATCTGGATCTCATTTGACGGATGAATGAAAGTGACAGTGAGGCTGTTGACGTCCACCGGAGTATTCGAGTACCTTTTGTTCTACCCACAGAGAAGACGAATACGTTCTCATACGAGCCCGATATTCTTTGATCTGGATGGCTTAGATTGCGTTCAACTATATTATCTCCGGATTGATTGAGTTCTAACAGTAGTGCTTTGCAACTGATGCATGGCGAGATTTGTAGGCCCTTTTTGTGTCTTCTCAGTGATTTCAAAAGGGATTAGGTGAATCTGCCGTTGCAGACAAGTATCGTTTCCATGGGAAAACAAATTGGAAGATCTATCTCATCGTTACACTGAAAAGACTGATGGACTTATTAATTGATAGAAAAGAACCAACTCAAGGATGAACCACCACTGAAGAACGGTTAAGAAGAGAGATACGGTTTGGTGAAAAGTCAAGTCAAGAAAACCGTATATAACATTTTATCAGCTTAGACGTATGAATTTTTGATAGGCAATGCGAACTTGCACCTTTGGGTAAAT